TTACACGAAATATGGTGAATACATCTCATTACAATGATTTACTGGTAGTCTCGAAACCCTACTTTCTTACTGATAAGGGTAGTTGAATTTTCCCACAATCATACGTCTCCATTTAATTTCACATGGCCTTGCTTTCCCAAAAGGTATCCTCACCCAGGCTGAAGTGGACTACCATTTGGACCTCGCCTATGTCTCATCCGCACAAACTTATTTTAGTTTTCGAGACTATCAGTAAGTCTAGAATTTTTTCATTTGCATCTCTCTGGTCGTCCTGGACTCGGTGCCTTAGAGGACGACAGGCTTGACTAATAATCGGGAAAATAGACTCCCCCATATCTCGTGGGTGGGGCGGGGGTGTGATTGCTGGACACGGTTTCAGGCAATTTTGGCCTCGAGGCAACCAGCCTGACAACCAGTCTGGCCGGCTGGACTTTTCTTGCCTGCTCTCTCCGCCGACACTTCCGGCGCATGTGTTTGACGTACCAAGAGATAAACAGTCCTCACATCGATTGGATCCCTGTCCGTGAGGACGGTAGCCGAGCCCAGTTGGTGGTGAAGGCGCCTAATCGGTCCGGTAGTGCATGTGGCTCCGATCGGCCCGTCTCGACGAGACAAGCGGCAACCTGACGGCTTACTCTGGCACCATTGAGGGATGCAAAGGGTAGGCAGGGTAGCGACAAGGTGACCGGATAAAAGCAAATTAAGCCACGTTTGGACACCCGGAGGATGGGGTTCGGGTGGGCCCGATGGTGGGACAAATGGTGTGGAGGAGGAGGAGGAGGAGGAGGAGGAAAAGAGGCTCGTGACGAGGTGACATAATTGTAGGTAAGGGGAGTTGTGTGGGCCTGGGCCGCCCATGCAACCAAGACCTGGTGGCAGGGGAATAGACCAAAAAGATGGCATTAAAATGCAGACAAGTGTTATCGGCTTTTTAGGCATATTTGACCAGTCGGAGAAAGCAGTACAATGGCGCTGATGAGTCTGGCGGGGACAGATGTATAAGTTACACAAAAGATACCAATTTTCATAGCGAAAGCTTGGCCGGACAGTCTGCTGGTATTCCGTTTGGCCCAAAACCAAGAGGCGGAGAGACCTGAAGACGGAAGAGTGTGCACACGACACGCCGAATAAGCATAAGTCTGGCCTTAAAAAGAGGCTACTTGGCCGACTTGTTGGCCCCCTCCATTGGACTTTACAATGTCGAAGGGTAGATCAACCGTCTACTGGTTTGGCCAGCTCAGGTGGAGGCGAACAAACAGTCCCAAGTAAAGTGCTCTGGAAGCGCATTCACCATTTGCAGACATGCACCCAGTATCCACAGCGGCACACGCCTATTTACAAGTTATTCGCAGGAGATATTTTAAAATATAAAATATATACTACTT